ATTTGGGCTGGGCAGAGTAGCGCACACCTGTAATCCAAGTGGTGTAGGAGGCTGAGGCAGGAAGATTGCACGTTCGAAGCTAGCTTCAGCAATGGTAAGGCGCTAAGCCACTCAGTGCCACCCTCTCCCTAAATAAAATACAAAATAGGGCTAGGGATGTTGAGCTGTTGAGTGCTCCTGAGTTCAATCTCCAGTACCAAAAAAAAAAAAGAAAGAAAGAAAAGAATAGAAATGAAATCCATACTTGGCCTCAACTTGGTGGCTCTGGAGTAGACAGATGCCCAACCATTTTGCCTGTTTCCATAAAGAGGGCCAAGAATAAGCTCCATCTTGGGGGAGGTCTGGCTTCCTTTAGGTCCCAAGAGTCAATGGCCTAGGCCTCAGGAACAGATAGGTAGGGGTCCTAGCTGCTCCAGACATCCACCCTTACTCCTGGGTCTGAACTGCCTTTATTTCCAGAGCCTTGGCATTTGACTTTCTGAGATGCTTTAGGGGAAAAGAAAACCTCAAATGTAAATATCAAATTAAAACTGTGGCTTTGTGTGTGAGGAGCCAGCTTTGAGCTTTTTGTTGCTCTGGACAACAGCTACAAGAAACACAGGTGACCTCGCCTGCTCACCGCCCAGGTTATAACCCCTATGTGGTCGCATTGGCAGTGGAATTCATTGCACTTCCAAAAAGCCTCTGGGAGTATCGTTAACCTTGTTAAGTGGCTGTCACAGGAGGGAGCCCTGAGCCGAGAAGGGGCCTGCAGCAGGCCATGCTGTCTTGGACTCTGTCCCCCAGCTGGTCATGTAGGTCCCACACACCTGACCATGGAGCCTGGACTGAGTGTCTGTGTTTGTCTTGGGGCTCGATTAGGCAGGACTGGATTGAATTGAAAGGGAAGTGACAGAGCAGGGTTATAGTCAGCACGTCTCCTGGTCTGGAACTCTCTTCAGCGAAAGAGTCAATTCAACTTCCGTGGCCTCATGAAGGAAGTGCTCTCCCTGCATTCAGTCTTCCTCAAGCTACCCCTTACCTGCCTTTCTGGATTTCTTTTTCACTAACAATAGTAACAAAACATTTGCATTTATGTGTTGCTTTATGAGTGACAAAATGCTTTCACATATCTTAGTTCTTTGAAGCTTCTCTGTAACTGAGATGAACTCAGACCCAGAAAGGTAAAAGGCCCTGCCCAGAGCCACTACTGGTCTCCAGGTGACTGGGGTAGGTTGTTATCATTTAGAATATTGCTGTCCCTCCTAAGGGCAGTTTATGCTTTCCTGTCCCTTTGATGTGAGATGTTAGCATGGACTTGCTTTGTCCAATGAACTATAGGCAAAAATGGTCCATGTCATTCTTAAGTCAGGTTATCATTTGCCATGTCTCTCTTTTCTCTCTTCTCCGAGGGAGAAAAATATCCCAACAATATGCCAGATAGAGTCCGCTCCATCAGCCTAGGCCCTGGACTCGAGGGGCTACGGAGTGTAGTCATAATGGACCCACTGTGGACTGTAACATGTGTGAGAAATAAACCATTGTTGAGGAAGGCCACTGAGATGCCAGGGTGGCCTGTTGGATTAGCACAGCTAGTTGAAACTGACCACACAGTGGTAGAGTTTGGATTAGTGAGACCTTCTGAAAGTGCAATGTGTTCAACAGTAGGGAACTGGTTCAATGAACAATCTCCTGTCCATTTGGTACATTATATCTATTATAATTAAATGTATGAGGTGCTTGCAATAAGGACGAATGCTTATGAATGAAGCCATGTGAAAAAGATAAAATGAATAATGGATACAGTTACAACTATATAAAATGAATCACTCAACCAAAAACAATACTCTAAAAGTCTAAGAAGAAATATACTTAAGTATTAATAGGAGTAGCTTTGCAATATGGACTTGGGAGATTGAAAAATTTTCTTCCTTATAGTACCCACTGTTTTTATTACTATAGCTAATCTTTATGGAGTGCTCACCATGTACTAGAGACTGCACTATTTTATATATATATTCTCACATAACCATGGAACCCTATGAGGAAGTTCTTTTACTACCCTTTTATAAGTAGGGAATTAATACTTTTCTGTTCATATAATGAACATATTTTACTTTTACAGTAAGAAAACAGATTTACTACATTTCTTTAATATTTCATCATTAAAGCTGAGAAATTTAGGTCCCTTTTCCTTTTCTTTTTGTCAATGTTATAATAGACATTATTGTATATATTTCCTTATGTATTGGTACTGTTATTTCTGTGAATTATATTTCCTTTATATATATATATATATATATATATATATATATATATATATATATACACACACACACACACACACAGTGTGTGTGTATGTAGTTGTCAGTGGACCTTTATTGTATTATATGTGGTGCTGAGAATCTAACCCAGTGCTTCACACATGCTAGGCAAACATGCTAAAACCCCAGCCCAATTACATTTCTTAAAGTGATATTTTTGGGTCAAAGTGAATGTTTACCTTTAAAAGAAGCATTTTTTTTTTTTTACAAATTTTAAACTTTCAGAAAATTTTCCAAAATAATACAGTGAGCTGGGCATGATAATACACACCTGTAATCCCAGGAACTTAGAACTCAAGAGACTGAGGCAGGAGAATTGCAAGTTTGAGGATAGTCTGAGCAATTTAATGAGACCATATCTCAAAATAAAATTTTAAAAAGGACTGGGCATGTAGATCTGTGGCAGAGTTCTTACCTGACATGCATGAGCCCCTGGGTTCAATCCCCAGTACCAAAGGAAAAAAAAAAATAGTGCAGAGACTGTTTGACAATTAAAGGAATGAGATATTAATACATGCTACAAGTTGGATCAACCTTGAAGAATATGCAAAGTGAAAGAAAGCCAATCACAAAAGGCCACACATTGAATGATTCCATTTATATGAAACTTCCAGGATGGGTAAACATATAAAAACAGAAAGTAGATTGGTGATTGCCGGGGGGCTGGGGCAAGGTAGGGAATGAGGAGTGACTGCTTACGGATTCCTGGTTTCCTCTTGAGGTAATAAAAAAATGTTCTGAAATTAGATAGTGACGATGGTTGCACAACTCTGAATATAATAAAACCACTGAATTGTACGCTTTAAAAGGATAAATTTTACGGTACGTGAATTATATCCCAATAAAACTGAATTCAAAAGAGAAAACAGTACAGAGAGTTCATGTGTACCCTTCACCTACATTACCCTAATGTTCTCAACTGGGAAATGATTAGTGCCGTTATACTGTGGAGTATGAAAAGTGCAGAACAGTAAGTATAGTATGATTCCTTTTAAAAAAATGTTTAAAAGATATGCAAGTCATTTATATGCAGGTATATGTTTCCTAATATTTGCAGGAACACACATTGAATGTGTGTTAGAATGTGTGTAGAAGCATGCATGTGAACTTAATGTTGGTCAGCGGTAGAATTAAGAGGGGACAAAGACAGATTATGTAGTTCTCTTTATAACCCCCTATTTTGTTTAATTTGGTATAAAAAGGCATGTAATTTTTATAATTTCTCACATTTCAAAATATTAATGCAAAAAAAGAAGACAAGGAAGGGAGGCTGTCTGTTGGTCAGCTTTCTGTTGCCGTGACCAGACCACCCAACAAGAACACCTCAGAGGGGAAAAGTTTATTTTGGCTTATGGTTTCCGAGGTCTCCGTCCATGGTTGTCTGACTCCATTGCTTTGGGACCAAGGAAGGCGGAATGCCGTGGCAGAGGAAGACTACTCAGCTCAAGATGGATGCAAAGCGTGGGATAGAAGCCAGGGGACAAGATAATCCCCAAGGGCATGCCCCCAGAGACCTACGCTGTAGCCACACCCACCTACCTACAGTGACCACCCAGTACAGTAGTCCTTTGGAATGATTAATCCACCAAGTGGATTAATTCACTGAGTAGGCTACAGCTCTTGTAATCCAATCATTTCACTTCCTGCAGTAACACAGGAGGTTTTGGGAGACACTTCATATCCATACCATAACACTACCCTTGGGTAGTCTCATGGGTAGCAATTTATCTCTAGATTTTAAGCAGGAAGATGTGCATTAATATCACACACAGGGGTCCTGCCCCATCTGCCCCAAAGTTCTGGATGATGGAGTGGGAGGGCTTGGAGTGGTAGTTATAACGAAGGTTTCTGGTTTGGAAAGAACTGCACTTGAACTGTAGCTCTCCACTATCATATTATGGGCATAACTCAACCATTCAGTTTCCTTACCTTTAAAATGGGAGTAATTAGATAATCTTTTTTGTCGGGTTGACATGAAGCTAAAATGAGATCATGCATGCAACGTGCTTAGTAAAGTGCCCAGCATACAGGGTTTCATAAATAATAGCCATTATTAGTAGAAAGTAGTATCGACAGTAGGCATTTTTCAGAAAGGGGGATGGTGACAGGCTTACCATCCTTTCAGACACATAGGTTGGATGTTCCTGTGCTCTCAACCTGAGGATTGACTTCAGTCTTGTTGCTATTATACCCAGCTAAAAACATGGCACTTGTACTTCCCAGCCTCCCTTGTAGCCAGGGGCAGGGGGAAGTCCTGGGTGGGACTTTTCCTTGGAAAACTGCCCGTTTGGTTTTCCTTTCCCTCCACTTTCTTTCTTTCTGGATCCTACAGTTGATGACCAGAGGCATATAAGCAGTCTGGGACCCTGCAGCAACCTTGAGGAGGGAAGCCAGGCCCTCAAGATGGCAGAACAGAGCACATGAGCTTGGGTCCCTGATGATCATGTAGTCACCGTGCCAGCCCCAGCTTGCCTTCCTCTGGACTTATATGCAAGAGAGAAATAAACTTCTATCTTGCTTATGCCCCTTTTCTGCGTTTTCTGTAAAATGAAGATGAACCCAGCCCTAACTAATAGAATTCTCAGAGAACAACTCTGAAGGCCAAGGTGCTCTCCTGGGAGGTGTGGCAGTGACCTGGGGAGGAGCTGCTGCCTTCTCCTGGGCAAGGCCAAAGTGAAGGAGAACCTGGGTACTTACTCGTCGCCAATGTAGAGCCTGGGCCAGACCTCGTTGACATGGGTGTACTGGGGGCTGCCCTTCCAGAAGAGCCGCTCCAGCTCGAAGGCTCCAGGGGTGCAGTAGTCCTCTGTCTCCCTCTCCTCCTCCGCCTTCAGGGACAGCTTCTTGGCAGATGGGTAGACATTCTTGAGGCTTGTCTTCGCTTTTCCAGATGTCATTTTGAAGTGAAAGAATTTTCTTTCCTTTCTGCAGCTGGTCATGAGAGAGGGTCAGGATGGGGATTAGCAGGGAATGCTAAGGTCAGGAACAGGCATTACAGAAAGAGGTGGGAAGAAGCTGACCTAAAAACATGGCTGAAGAGTCCCTGGCTTGCTCTCCTCCTACTTGATTATCCCAGGCCACACAGGTGAGCAAGGCCAGCCATGATGGCAGTTAAACAACACTCCTCAACATGCCAATGTTTCCAGAGAGTACTGGGGGCTGAGGTTAATTTGCTGCTGACCTAGAATAGGCTTTGGGCTCACAAAATCCTCCCAGACAGCTAGTCCCTTTCCACCATGCTTCTAGACTTTATTCCCTCTTTGGTGCCTACTTTTTCTGTCATCTGATTGGAATCTGCTAGTTTGGGCCATTTTTATCTCAAATAGGAAAGTTCAGAAGCCCCTGGTGTTGCAGGACTGTAGCATGCTTGATAGCTGCAGGGAGCACTTGGCCAGCAGAAAGGGCACATGGCTAAGCCCAGAGCAGGTTTGTCCAGGTCAGCACAGCCAAGGGCAGAAGCAGGGCTTCAGAAGCCTTGGGGTGGGAGGCAAGCTGCTACAGGAGGGATAGCCAGCTTGTTAGGACAGTTGGGGTCATGTTCACGGCTCACACCAGGAGGCTGGCCATTGCTGCATTAGTTTATCAGGGAGTCAAAAGAGATATTCATGCTAGGAGCTGTTCTGTCTGCAGATTGAAACATGTCTGGAGAGCTTGTCAGGCTCTGCTAGTGGAATGCAGAAGAAGAGTTTCCATTGTCCCTGAGGAAATGAATTCACAGTGGAATAGGGCAGTGTGTGTTCTATGAGCCAAGTTAATGGCACATGTATGGCCAGACAGCCAGGGAAGGGAAGTTGTACTCATGCTCTGAGACTAGAGGGAAGGAGAAAAGGGTGAAATGACTGAGGAGTATAGAGATAGGCCTGTGGCAGAGAGGGAATGTTATTTATTTGACAAATACAGTCAGTCGTCCATATCCTCATGTTCCAAATTTATGATTCAACCAACAACATTGAAAATATTCAGAAAAGAAAAATTGATCTGGTGTAGTGGTGCACACCTGTAATCCCATTGACTCAGGAGACTGAGGCAGAAGGACTGCAAGTTCAAGGCCAGCCTGGGAAATTTAAGAGAGGCCCTAAGCAACTTAGTAAAACACTGTCTCAAAATAAAAATTGAAAAGGCTGGGGATGAGGCTGAGTGGTAAAGTACCCTTGGGTTCAATCCCTAGTACAAAAAAGGAAAAGGAAAATTGCATCTGTTCTGAACATGTACAGACTTTTTTTTACTTTATTCCCTAAACAATAACAACTATTCATATGGCATATATGTTGCATCAAGTATTGTAAGTAATCTGGAGATGATGTGAAATATGCAGAAGAATGTGCATAGGTTAAATGCAAATACTACACTATTTTATGTAAGGGATTTGAGTATTGAGTACCCCCAGATTTTGCTGTCCTCAAGAGGTCATGGAACCAATTCTCCATAATACTGAGGGAGGACTGTCCTTAAACTTATTTTGTCCCAGACAACTATTCCAAGTTTTTTACAGTTATAAATTCATTCAATCTGAATAACTGTTATAAGGAGAGCACTATTATTATCCTCATTTTACAGATGAGGAAAATTATAAATTGAGGGTGTTCGTAGCACATGGCCTTAGTCTGTTGAGAGGGAAAGTAATGGAGAATACAATGTGAGGAAGGTCAGGCAGGGATTTGAAGAATGTAAAAAAAAAGGGCTAGTGGTTCCATAGACCAGTAGGATCAAAGACCACTCAGTAAAATTTGCAAAGGCTTCCATTTATTCAGGAACAGGACAATCTGAACATGAGTAATAAAAATAACTCCTGGGCTGGGGCTGTAGCTCAGCGGCAGAGTGCTTGCGTAGCATGTGTGAGGCACTGGGTTCGATCCTCAGGACCACATAAAAAAATAAAATAAAATAAAAGGCATTCTGCCCATCTACAACTACAAAAAAATAAAAATAAAAAACCTCCAGCAGCCAGGCACATGCCTAGAATCCCAGCAACTCAGGAGGCTGAGGCAGGAGGATCACAAGTTTGAGGCCAGCCTGGACAATTTAGGGAGACCCTGTCTTGAAATAAAAAATAAAAATGGCTGGAGATATTGCTCAGTGAAAAGCGTCCTTGAGTTTAATGCCCAACACCAAAGTAACAACAACTCCAGCAGACAGAAACACATGGAAACACTTAAATGGTAAAGATACTTAAAACAATTATTTGCTGTTGGAAGGTGCTGGGAATTAGCTCATTATTTTGAGATGAATAAATGAAGGAAAACAACCTAACATTTATTCTTCCTTTCTGATAAAAACTGTACTGGGCAGATATAGGAACTTTTCTCTTTGAAAAGGTATTCCAGATAATAAAGAAGGAAGGAAGCACTATTTTTACAATTCCCAATGAACTACTGGGCCAGGCTCTGAACATTGACTGCTAACAATGTAAGAATAAGAAGAAATAACAGACATTATTTGCTTGAACTCAGGGGTGCTTAACCACTGAACGACATCCCCAGACTATTTTTGAATTTTATGTAGAGACAGAGTCTTGTTGAGTTGCTTAGGGTCTCACTAAATTTCTGAGGCTGGCTTTGAACTCACAATCGATCCTCCTGCCTCAGCCTCAGGATTATAGGCATATGCCGCCGTGCCCAGCCATAATGTGCTTTCTGATCGAAGAACACACTGGTGAATCTCAGCAAAGTCTTCAGGGTCTAGCTCTGATGGGACATTTGCAAGAGATTCAGAGGACCACAGAGCCTTATCTTAAATATTCACAGATGAAATGATACAATGTCTTGGATTTGCATTAAAAACAATATAGTTGAAAATGCAATCACATCATATTGGAGGGTGGGGTCTTGGTGGAGGTGTGTGAGGCAGGATTGGCTGTGGGTGGTGATAGTTGAGCTTGGATGGTGATTTCAAGGTTGGTACTATTTTTATGTGGGTTGGAAGGATCTGTAATAAAAATTTTTAAAGAGGCACTGGCCATGAGGTGGCACACACCTATAGTACCAGCTACCTAGGAGGCTGAGAAAGAAGGATTGCTTAAGCCCAGGAGTTCAGAGACCTCATCTCTTAAGAAAAAGAATGGGTGGGGGGAGGAAAGGGATGAAACCACTCCTTTCAGGTTAGATTCTCTCAAGTCCATAGTTGATGCCTTAAAGGATCATGAGCTAACTGTGTGTGTCTGTGGGGATCTTGGAAGCCAAGATTTGTGAGTGCCTCCTGCAGCACACTGATTCCTGGGATGGGGTGGTGAGGGCAACGTGGAGCAGAGGAGAACCTCTCAGTGTGATGTAAAGACCATCCCTGTTGGGGTCATCAGACACGGACTAAAAACAGACTCCTGGGCTGTACACTGGAGCCTCAAAGTCTGTATTTTAACAAACTCCCAGGAGAGTCTGACAATCACTCAAGGTTGATAATAATTGTTTGAGATGTGACTCAAGAGTCAAGGAGCTGCCAGGCATGGTGGCACACACCTGTAATCCCAGCTACTGGGGAGTTGGAGGCAGGAAGATCCAAAGTTCAAGGGCAGCCTGGACAAATGAATAAGACCCCTTCTGGGAAAAAAAAAGGGGGCTGGGGATGGAGCTCTGTGGTAGAGCATCCCTGGGTTCAATCCCCAATACTGAAATATATATGTATAATATACATATATTTTATACACACACACACACACACACACATATATATATATATGTATATATAATATATGCACAGAGAAAGCAAATGCACGTGCGCGTGTGTGTGTGTGTGTGAAGGAACAGTCGAGAAGGATAGTTAAGAGTGCTTAGTCTAAATGCTTTCCATTCTTCTCATTGAGGTAGGTCTGGCTTTCCCAAATTCAGGTGCAGGCCCTGAAGGAGAAAGGCTGGGCCACCTTGGTCCGAGCCTCCTTAGTGTTTATCCTTGTAGCCTCAGTGTCTGAAGTGTAGAAAGTGCTCGGGAAATATGTGTTGAACAAAGGAATGGTTTTGTGAGGGGTAAATGAAGGACAAAGGCCTGTGAGGCCTTGCTAGGGAACTCAGCCAGAGCTGCTGAAGCAGGACTGAGGCTCTGGCTGATCCAGAGGCAGGTGCAGGGGTGAAAAGCACAGAATAGGATGAACCCTGCTTCTTCCAGCCAGTGGTTGGTCAGGCTTGAACTTGACTCTGAGACCTGTCTGCTGGTGTTTCCAGGTGGGAAGGGAGAAATTATCTCAAGGGGTGGCTGAAGCTTCTATTGCAGGAACCAACACAGACCCCCCGCCCCCAACTCCTAAGTTCATGGTCACAGCTTTCATTGCTGCAGGCCCATGGGGACCTTAATTCCTAGAGGCCTGAAACTTAGCCCCTCCATGGTACCCACTCTTCTCGTAGTGAAGTGAGTAGAAGCTGGGCACTGTGTACCTCAATGTGGTGGTTTAGGCCCTTCTGAACCCTGCCTGCCACTAAAGGAGGATTGGGAAGAGGCAATTTTAGGGAGGTTTCCATTTTGAAACCTCCGCCTGTCTCTTTTGATCACTGAAGTTGACCTCACCCTGGGTGAGGCCAGTCCTCCTTCATTATACTGCGGAGAGAGCCATACCCGGCCCCACCTCTGTGCTGAAAGCCTCGGCTGGATTTCCAGACAGAGGAGGAAGTGGTGCGGTCTACCCAGAGCAACTTGGCACGCAGAGGGAGCTCTGGGATCTATTATCCTCCGTCGTGCCGATTTGATGGGGGAAGAGAACAAAGCATGGAGCCGTCCAGAAACCACAGACCTGTAATCTTTCCAAATCCTAAAGGCGGCTTGTGTGCATCCCTCTCTGCATGGCTCCCAAATCTCTAATTCTCAGAGAGGCCAAGAGAGTCTGTTTTCCAGATCACAGCCAGAATGGAAGGGGAAGACAAATCTGTTCTGTTTGGTTTCCATAGATTCGACCCAGAGATTAACTGCCAAGGTCTCTGTGACACATACAATATCAATCACAGGCTAAAATGTCATAATGAGAGCTGGGCAAGATGTCAAGAGA